GGGGGGGGGGGGGGGGCTGGGTCATGTAACACGCGTGCGCGAGCACATGCTCGAACGTCACGCCATACATTCTCAACCGTCGCGACGAGCACATCGTGAGTTTTCGATGATCTGGTTTTGCGATAATATCGCCGCTAACTCGCTTCGTACCTACGTCGCGCGGTTAGCTCTTACGAAAAAGATACGAAAAAATCCTCAATTTTGGGTGTAAATACTCAAAAAATGAGGATAAACACTTAAAACTTAAAATGAGGATAAACACTTAATTTGAGTGTTAACACTCAAAATTGAGGGTTTTTTCGTATCTTTTTCGTAAGGACGCTCATCAGTGGTGAGACAAGAATAGAGCGATTGGACGTTTGTTCTTTTCTAACTTATTATCATTATACGGAAGTACAACGGGTACGAACCAGACGCATTTTATCGTTAAGGTGCGGCTCTAATGGTCCGTAACATATCCGTATCCGTAATCATAAACAAAATCGAGTCGTAATTGATCGTGATATATATCGCTTTATTATTGCGAAAATGCGCTTAACGAACGTAATAAAGGCGCACTTTGTTAGATAGCGTTTCGAAAATGCGCCTAGCTGTGGTCATTGAAATCAGGCTGGTGGCCGCTCTCAGAGCCAACGCGCAAGTACATCCGTAATATATTACGTTATGTTAAGTACTGACTATACAATAGAGAGTTTTTGCATATTTCAGATACTAGTAAACGCTGAAGTCTCGTGACTTTATACTGTATTCTGTTTTTACTTTCAAATCGCCTACTTCAAAAGAGTTTTTGCACGATGAATGCTATGGTAACGTAAGATAAAACAGTATCCTACACGATCTGCAATCGTTTTCTATTTTTCACTCTCTTCATATGGATTTTGGGATATAATCTCCCTTAAAAGTATGAGATCATCTTGACTTGTGAATCTCTATCGTTCAGACTTCATTTTGGTAGCTATAACGTTACTCGTGAACGCTATTTTTCAGAAATAACGTTCGCACGTTATCTGAATAGCGTTAAGGTGACCGATGCGTATGCGCAGTTTGGTCTTTTGACTCGATGACGTCATTTTAGCGTTTATCACTAAATTAATAAATTGACGTTATTTTAACTATACCGTATGTTTGCAAAAACTCTCTAATGACCATACCTGTACGTAAACTTAAGTCAACGCACAAAGAAATCCGTAAACTTAACATGTTACGGATGTCTTGTGCGGAGGCTCTCATGCTTCTATCTGCTTGGCTGCGTTCCAAAACTCTACTTGACGAGTAGAGTAGCATTCTATTGAGCAATAAGAACAAAAATAACTAGAATTTCTTTATCATAATTGATCAATTAAATGCATTCTAGATAAGTAGAATTTTGGAACGCAGACCTAGAAGCGTCTAGACTAGCTGGATGCCTCGGCCGAATTCGGGCGAACTCGAGAGCGGACTCTACTTCTCAGTCGCGCGCCACTCTAGTAAGCGCGCAATTCGTGGCGACAACGCGCCGCTGAACTAATCATACCTAGAGGCTTTTCGTGTTCATGCGCGCACGCATGCGTCGACATGCGCGTCTCGACTCGTTGTTTCGGGCAACGCGATATTTGAAAAGTGCGGTCGAACGGCGTTCACGTTTGTCCCGGTCGCTGGCTGGCTGACTGGCTGTTGCGCGTCCAATATCGCGTTGTGTCGCGTTCTGTCGAGTGTATCTCGCGGGTGGCATGCGAAATCGGCCGACGATAACCGTCCTGTTGGCGTCGTCCATCGCAGCGAAGGATTATGCTCGATGAGTCGCTGTGACGCCCCGCTGGAAAGATGCAGCGAAGTGGTAAGTGCGAGAGGTGCGTTTTGTGTATACGTTGCCGTCCCAGACAAGCGTCTTCCTCCTCTCACCTGTCGACCGGGCGACCTGACCTGAGCGTGCGACCATTTTGGAGCCGCCGAATTTCGTCGTCAATACGGCACGTCCGGTCGATACTCCGCGGCTCGAACGACCTAACCTACCAATTTAGTCATTTAACGCACCGACACAGCTAATTAGATCTCATCAGCGTTTCTTTTTCTCGTTTTCGTCCCCGTTTCATATAGTACAGTTCTGGCCGTTTTGCGAATTAAGGATGAAGACTACTCAATTCCGAGCGCTAATCTAGTATTCGGTCATGCTCATATATACGTGCACACGTGCATGTGTACACACATGCAAGCATGAAAGACCAGTCATAATTTTCGATGTTTACGATATTTATGTTTTTCATGTTATTATTACGAAGTCTCAGGTTCGCTCCGACCGATGTGTGTAAGGCGAAATGGTTGTTCACGTTATTTATGCGTTAAATAACGCATAAATATGTCGTATAAATTAGTTTTTCGCACAGATCGTACAGTAGTCATTGCCTGTTATATGCATCGCGGCAGCCCTGCATAGATAAGGCGCCAGTATTTTCATGGACGCCTACTCCTAATCGGTGTCGATAATGACAAAAGTCTGACATAAACGTGTTGAATATTAAATGCCTATGAATACTGCAAATTTGCGTTATGACCCTCTTGTGGTCTACTGTAAACTCGATGTAATTTTAATTGAATACATAGATATACTTTACACGGAACAAATTTTACTAAAATTGGCCGTTTTCAGCATCAATCATGTCTCTTCGTAACATTTATTTTTCGCGTACATTATAGCATCACTTGATAATTTTAGTACAAGTGTCACGTTGTAAAGATAAAAAGAGAGATCGAATCAAACTGGATGCGCAGACAGAAGTGCACAGGGTTAAAGAATCAATTCTCTCAATCGATGGAGGGAGAAGGCGAAAGGAGGGAAATAGTAGAGCGATGTGGTGGAAAGAAGAGAATAGGCGAAGATAGCGGAGCGCTTCTTCGTCACGCACGTGAAAGAAGCTTCGCGAACGATCGTGAATTGCGCGACGTCGACGTGCCTTTAGTTTGAATTGCGAATCCGACACGCAAACACGCGATTGTTCGTGTATCTTGTTCTTCCGTATCAGAACGAGAAAGTACTCTCTGCCATCATTTTCTCCTTACGCTACTTCGTTTCCGTAATCCGCCGTAAAAAATGCCGCGATTATCCGCGAAGGAAGCCACTTTCGCGTTTTTTTCGCGATGATTCCTAAAAATTCATAAATTTGTTCAAGCTTTACTCGACGTGAGCTAACGTATCCATCGGTTCCCACATTCTTCGTAGATTCTTCGGCACGTGGATTTTTCCAGTTTCTCAGAACAGATGGATCATTCAGTATTTAGACTCGTGAATATATCTGTAAGAAGCCCAAACAGATTCCTTTGGTCACGTGCAATCTTCGGCGTTCCGATGATTATTTCGAGATAATGCCTCAGGTCGCACGATCGATTCGCGGCGATTAAATATTAAAGCGCTCGCGCGACATTTAAATTTCGACGTTTAAATCTTGGTCTCTCGACATACTATCCGACTACTATATATAGTTGCCATCTGGTGTGCTGTATCGCGCGTTATTTCAAATCCAACCCCGAGAATCTCGGTACTTTTGTGGAAAATCTATTTTCGTCATCGGGACAGGTATCTCGGTGTGTCTCACTCAGTCGCGTGATCCACCGTGAAAGGATCCGATCGTAACATCACGGGGATAAGGAGTCGCCAGTGGTAATCGGGATGGAGACTTCCACGATCGCTCTACACGATACACGTAAGAAACGAAGCGTTATCTTCGTCCCATGGTCCAAAATCTTTGGCTTGGTTGGACGCTACAATGAAAACGTATCTCTCCCTCGCGCGAGAGAGATCCCGAAGAATCTCTCATCCGGATGTAGTTCCAAAGAGGCTGCGCGGTCTGGTTTTTCTTTAAGAAAACAAACCGCGTATGCTCCGAGCGTTATTATCGATCCGTAAAATCTCGAAGGAGCTCGCGGCGCTACCACGTAACGTGGCTACGGTGATTACTTTGTTGCCGCGATGTACAAACCACGTTGCTAAAGGCAATTGACAACTATGAAAACTATTGTCTATCTTGCATAAATCTAATAGCACGAGCGCACAAAACAGGCGTAACAATAGTAGTATAACGAGAGAGAGGTAGATTTTACTTCTTGTTGTATTTCTAAACGATATTTTCGAGTAATAAGATTTGACAAAAAGCGCAATCGTATAATAATTGTGTGTTTGTAGAGAATATTATTTAAATTTTTAAGAGTGAAATTTCACAAGAAATGGTTAAACATTGAGGCCACAGACCACTGTGAAACTCGAAATTACAAGAGCGAATGTTTGACTCAAATCTGGAATAAATTCTTGATTCATACGAAAGAGTATTCCAATCGCTTAGAGTGAATTTGTTCTTGGCAGACAGTGGAACGTATCAGATTTATTTTTCAATTTTGAATTATAATATTCATTAAATGATTTAGAGTGGAGAGTTTGCTCTATATAAAAAAATGATTTGGTTGCCACTCTATTTTTCAAGTGGAATTTTACTCGGAGAAATTTCAAAGGTATAAGAACATATATGTACATGTAAGTAGAAACATTATTTTAATGTACCGATCTTTCTTTTTCCTTCCCTTCCTGAACAATCCTTATCATCCTTATCGCGGCGTTAACTCTGCCTCCTCTCCGCAACTTCTCTTCCTCGTCATCTCCCTGGTCTGTTTCCGGTGCTGTACGGATACTGGATGACCACATGATTTGCTCGGTCAACAATGATGATTACGACTACAATGACAACGACGACGACGTCATCGCCTTCATGGTCATTTCGGGCATCACGGTAGCGGTGAGTCTCTCCTTCCTTCCCTCTCTCTTTCGTTCTCTGTCTGATAAGGCTAGTCGCATTCCGATCGTCGTTCGAATAGTCGTCGTGGAAGTCTACCTTCGTGTTCGCAATATTAATACCGTGAGCGCATTTCGGTTCGCACGGCGAAAGGAGCCGCACGCGCTTCGCGAATTGATCGATTCTGAACGTGCGTCTGCGAATCGTAAATTTTTGTCTTTTTATTTTTCCTTTCCTGTCTCGGTTTCGTTCTATCGCTGTAACCGCCATGTGACTCGTTATTACCGAGCCGGCAGTTGATAACGACCGATGTCGCTTTCTGTGAATTAAGGCGAATATACACACCGCGAATATATTAAATACTGTTATTAAATTCACTGTTTATTAAATTCAATTTCGTGATGCGAACAGTGAAACCGAACACAGTGAGTGTTGGTTAAATATGCGGTGATTAGTCACACCTGTCGCTCAATGAAACAGATATGATCGAATGCACGTACGTCTTGCGGCGAAATTCGCGTTCGAGTTTCTCCTTATTATGAAGTTTTCAGTCCAATTCTTTCTCTATCTTACGAAGTTTTGATTTCATATTAAACAGCTCAGTGTGTGTGCACGTGTGTGTGATACTTATCGCTTCGCTTTGAAAAACACAGAACGACATCGGTCATTCCGGTTTCCGAAGCAGCGATTTAAACTGCGAGAAAAAATAACGCTCCCGGTCGTAGTGTAGACTTATCAGCCGATTCTGTCTCGTTTGCCAGATGCGTGTTTTAAAGTGAATAATTCAGTCGAATAGGCCGAATAATGGAGGAAGTCTCGCTCTTCTGATCGCGTTCACACCACGTCTACGATATCTCATTACTGCATCGTGTATCACGACGAACTTTTGCTGTCGCGAATAAGAGACAATCTCGTGGATCAGTGAATTACAATTAAACTCGAGAGTGATCGAGTAAACGAGCCGCAATGTCGACGACGAATACGCCGGTGGCGGCGAGGTGTCGTATACATCCGATTATTGCTAGATACAACAAAAACCTGAAGAAGAACAGCGACGAGTCAACTGAGCAGGTAGTCATTCAAGGAGTTTACTCGCTTAAATTAAAAATGCTTAAAATTATACGTAACGTTTATCGCAATAAAACATATTCGTCCCTTGAGCGCCGTTAAAATACCTGGTGAATAAACTCCTTAAAAACAACTATCGATGGAAGAATTGCTTTTTAGATTTGTAAAAGAAATTCACATTTCGTTGCCCGACTATGTCGTTTCTTCGGATGACAAACGATGCATCGTAAACAAAACTCCATAAATCAAAGCCCAATAATATTCGATCATACCCGAGCTTTTTGGTTGACAATTATTTTGTAGATAAAGGAACGATCCAGGTGCTTTCTTATTTGATCTAAGTGAGTACAAAGTGGAGTAGATAATATTTCATAACGGATCGGGCAAATAATGAATAAAAACTAAATGAAATCTTGGTGACGTGAAATATCTCATGTTATCGCAACATTTTTCTAAACATCTAACTATGTTAAAGCTGTCATTACTTGGTTGCAATAATTGAAAATAATTGATTAAAGAAGCCTCCTATAGGAACTGTTCTGTTTTTACAACTGAATTTTTCATCCGATGCCTATTCTTATTGTACAAAGAAAAGTTCAGTTACACTAACGGAATTGTTTTTTTCGTACACTATATATTGGGCTTTGATTTGCACTCTTACTGTAAAACGTCAATTCCGAGTGATACCTCTGCGAGTTGCGGTACTCGGGTATAAAAATACTGGAGTCGTACAGACAGCACTAATGTATTTGCGTGAACTGCATTCCACTCGTTTATTTCTTCTTATTGGATTCTTTCGGACGTGTACGCACGTAGTAGTACGCGTGCACGCATGCACACGCACTGTCGACGTCGGTGCTCTTATTAGCTCGATGTCCAATTAAGGTCGCAACGACACTCCGAGTATTCCGGCTGTGTATACTTCCTAGTGGACGCAACACCAGAATAACAAGCGCAACGATCGGCAAGACAATGCGAGAGCGTTGACATCGTGAAATCGAGACCGCGTACGCGTGCTTGAATCACTTAAAGCCAATCGCCATTTTAAAATATCCGGCGTGCGTATATACGACGCGCCAAGTGTTTTCTCTGCATCATGCTCGTTGACGTTAGAATGGCGAAGATCGATAAGATCTTCTTTTCGACGATGTGTAATCTCACATAGGCTATTGCATTTCACGGATTTTTAACGACAATGATATTGAAAAAAGAATATGAAAAAAAACGAATGCGTTTATTTTGAAGAAATTCAGCTTTTGCCTGTTTTATATTTTGGGATATTTGCGCACTGAGAAAGAAAGTTTAGCACTTGTGACCATAATGGCATAATGAAATATATATCATATATAATCAGGAAAGTCATTTTTGTAGTAAGAAAAAATACCAATGTCCAGACATGTGTTCTAATCCTGGGCACTTTTATTTTTTTCATTTTTAACCCTTCGTATACATACTGTGTGATTACCACCCATAATTAAGATTCAACGTTCTGTACCTTTTAAGTGCTATCATAAATGGAACTACTGTCACCATCTAATTGTAGTTTGGGGTTTTAACTATGCTTTGATTCCACTCTGCTAGCAAAATAATCGTTAGTTAACTTTTGGCAGCCGTCTGAAGTGAAAATAATGGAACTTTGATATTCAAAATAAATATATTTTTTCCAGAGATGACTTACGAGACAATTATTTCTTTAAAGATAAACATTTCAACAATAAAATGCTAAATTTTTACTTAAAAATAATAAAAATTACAAGTTACAAATTTTTTTTGCAAAAACTCATTTTTTTTAAATCGCGAAATATAATAATTTTTTTAATATGAAATTTCTTAAATTTTAATACCAAAAGTATGTAAATATTTTCTATAAACGTTAAAGTTAATCCATGAATTTTTTCAGAATTTTACCATAATTTTAAAAGATACAGCTGTTTGAAAATTGCCATGGGTGGCAACTACCCAGTATGCGAAGAGTTTATATAAATATTTAAACTCCAACGTCAAAAAAAAATATATATATCACATTGAAGTTTATATATATATATACATATACATATACACATACACACACATGTGTATATATATATTATACATATACATACATATATTAAGATTCATGCAATTTAGAAAAAGATCCTCACTGTATTCATACGTTCGTAATTCGTACGATGATATTCAAGAAAGAGAGAGAGAGAGAGAGAGACAAACAAAAGAGAAAAAGGCTCTCATTCGCGAAATCGCGCTAATATCAGCGTACGACAAATGAAAGCAAAAGTGTCGTACTCGATTGCTCGTTTAAAGCCCTTCCTGAAAGGTTCGAAGGCAGTGCGGCCGACGCGGCGCTGCAGTATCGACGCTCGATATCAGTCGGCTTTGCGGCGCGTTCGTGTGGTGCCCGTGTTGGACACTAGCGCCGGACGCGTTGATTGGCGCTCGCGGCGTCGACTCACGATTGGCGGCTGCGCGACTCTGCCGGCGGCGCACGAAGTCTCCTGCGCTCGCTCTCTCCTCTCTTCCCCTCTTCGTACCCGCGGCAGCTGCGTCAGGCGTGGTCGTCTTCCAGTACATTCGAGTGGGGTGTGCGGTGAGTGCGCGTCGCGCGTGGAACCGCGGACGAAACGTGTTGCTTTCGTGAGGTTGCGACCTATCGCGACAAGTAAGTGCGTTCTTGAGATTTCTCTGTGGGCGTATTCGTTGTTGTGTTTGGTGTCGATGGTATATCCGGTCTATCTTACGCAGTGCGCGCGCGCGCACGTTTCTCTTCGCTTCCTCTTCATCATCCGCGTGTGATTGCCGGTGAACAACGTCACGAGACACGATGAACGGCGAAGTGAGAGTGAAAACACGGCCACGCTTGGCCGGCTCGCCGACGGCGTGAATCATCGCGTGCCAGCACCGGCTCCAGGGAGAACCCACGCAGTGGCTACGACGTGTGCGCGTCCCGTCTCCCTTCCTCGCGTGTGTGCTTTTGCCGGTCTCCTGAGATCCGATCCGTTGGTTCGGCCTTTCCTTCTCTCTCGCTCCTCTTCTTCGCTTCGAGCACGAGAGCATCCCTCGCATATACCTTTACCACCTACACAGTGAACATCATCGGCATTGTGCGAAGGTACGAGATATCTTGACTTTTCGACTCGCGCCGAGTGATCCGTGCAACGGCCGGGTGTTCTTGTTGAGTCGCATCGCGGCGATTCTCCTCGCGGCGACGCGATCAAGACAGCGTTCATTCGCCCGAGACTTCGCCCCTTCGAGAACAAATCCGGGTAGTAGTACGAGGAAGTCGCTTTGATTTCGTGCGTAAAGTCGAAGGAACTTCTTTACTATCCACGCGCTCGTTCTCGAAAGAATGAGAAACTTTTGCCTAAGTGTGCAATCTGCAATCTTGATTAACAGAATATCGCTTCGTATTTACATATAGACTCGAAACGGGAATAATTACCGTTAAAATCGAAATTCCGACGCGACGAACATACAAAGGTGACTCTCGTGTTTATTCGTGACTAAAAGCCGCAAGGTAATACGAATGAGATCCTGTTTTTATATCGGCTTGCTCCTCATAAATCGATAGTCCCATTAGACAAAGAAGCGAAATTTAACAAAGGAATTTGGGTTTATTGCGTCAGTCAACTCATTCCCTTCGTCATTTCTAGCTATGTAATTAATAGGTCTAGAATTCAAGTGTCATACAGACAGAGAAAAGAATCTTAATTAACTAATTAATTTCGCGTCACCCGGGTGCCTTTGTTTAACCGAAGTCAGCGCGAAAAGACGACGTGCAAAGTCAAAGTCGGATCTTCGCGTCGCGTTTACAAAGCGAATTCCTCTTAACTTCGTCGACCGGCTCGATGAGAAGTTAGGCGAAAGCGAAGGGGGCCGCTTTTCTCGCGCGATCACTTTTACTTCGATGCATTCCTGTATCTCGTAGACCCGTATTAATAGTCGTTGCCTTAAAACTTGTCTCAAGTGAGGTATTCAGATGTCAATTTAGAGATAAATTTTTTAACTAAATTGCGCGGCTACAGATATAATGTCGCATATATTACATGATTCAAGTGAAAAATCTTAGTATCTCACGTTTCAAGTTACTGATAGGGATCGTACCAGTCGGAGAGGCTGCCGACTAAAACTCGAATCAACAACGAACGCGTCGTAAACAACCGCAGCGCACGCGTACGCGACGAACGAGCGAGCATTTAAATCCGCGGGGATTTAAACGCGAAGGGTGTGTGGAGGCCGCAATTCTCATCAAGCGCCCCTCGATATTGGAGATCACGTCGGGAGGACGAGCACCGGTTTTCATCTCTAACCCCTCGTGTGTAAATTCGTGGACTCGCTGGGTGGACTCGCTGTTGATCGATCCGTGGGAAAACGCCACCGGTTTCGATCGCGCATCATCGCTGAAACGAGAACATCGTTATCGGGGTTAAGGACTCCGCACGAGAATGCCCGTGACGCTTTTGTTACGTCGCGATTGTCTTCGTGCGTTCACCTAAGCTCACTGTTTCGTACAGACTTCAGTTTACGGCCAGTACTTGACGTAACTTAAAGCGTTACAGACGTTGTTGCACGACGGATGTCCTTATCTTCGCAGTGCCTAAGTAAGACGAGCCCTTGGCTTGCTCGTCACGGAGCGAAGCGCCGTGTCGCAACAACGACAGATAAAACCGCATGCCGTATCGACTTTCGACGTGTTCGATACGTTTCCATTCGTCATCTTGTGCAGCTGAAGCCTTCACGCTTCGCGATTTTCATCTTTAAACCGAAATGTCGGTGCTTGCGCGACTATCGCGACAGTCGATTGACTCTTTCTCACATGAGAAACGAATAAATTTGCCTGTCTCGAAAGTTACACTGAGAGAAATATGTGCTTATATATGCTAATATGTTTTTAATTTCACAATGATTGCATAATTAGGTAAATTATTTTTAAATGCTACTGTAGTGCCAGTGGTATTAATTTTATGCATATATTGCTATCATTTTCTTTTTTCAGTAACAAAAAAGTACCCCGATGGACTTATGTATAGAAACTTTACAGTATACTTTATTAAAAAAGTACCCCGATGGACTTATGTATAGAAACTTTACAGTATACTTTATTAAAAAAGTACCCCGATGGACTTATGTATAGAAACTTTACAGTATACTTTATTAAAAAAGTACCCCGATGGACTTATGTATAGAAACTTTACAGTATACTTTATTACAAGTATAATCACGAAATTCAGTAACGTTGGGTCCTTTATGACTGATCATATTTATTACATAGAATGACAGAATAGAAATACGAAAAAAATTATCAAAAAATTGCTCAAAATAGTATGTCATGTTGAATGTAATATAAAAATCGAAATGTAACTTAATAAATTTGTTGCTACATCGATACAATAAAAAGTTTATTGTATGATATGTAAATTTAATAAATAATTTAATACACGCACAGTATATTTACTTTATAAATGTAATTTAAATAACTGTAAAGTTTCCATTATCGATTGTCGTGATAATCGAAAAGTCTATCTGTGTATGTTTGGCTAAAGATGACTTTTTCAATGACTTAGTTTTAGTGAAATAAACCACATCTTTCCTCTCAGTCACCGGCACCGTCTCAAAGGCACCGTTTCCGTTTAACATGTCCGCTACCAAGTTTACTGCAGAATCGACTGTGACAGCTCGCAACGATTGTTCCGCGTATATACCTGTCATATATCACGTATATGCGTATATGACGTCTATGTATTAAATGGAAGGCGTCTAGCGTGCTCATACATCGAGCGTAGCATATGCCTTGACACTTACCAGATTCAAGTTTCCCGGGAATTTTCATCGTAGCATACGCCTTGACACTTACCAGATTCAAGTTTCCCGGGAATTTTCGAGTCGGACGCGACGTTTCGTAATGTTCGCGCTTATTATACGACTGTCTGTTATCTGCACTATTCTCCCAGTTCGACTGATAACAATAGCTGTATTATATGCGAATATCTACTCTGGGAGAAATAATCGGTTAATAAAAAGAATTAAGTCTAAGATTGCATTCAGCAGAGGAACTTGTTTTGCAACTGTAAAATTCGCGAATCTGATTGATATATATGCTCTTAAGCCAGTGGCTTACGGTGCTTGTTTTCGTGCTGAATTGCTTGCTGGATGGAAATATTGTTCTGATTGGTACATTCCTGAAGATGGATGGAAATGCACCAATCAAAACAGAGTATTTCCATCCAGCAAGCAATCCAGCATGAAAACAAGCACCGTGTGCCGCTGGCTTTAATCTCGACTAAACCCAAAAGAGTGTAAACCAATCAGATTCACAAATTTTACAGTAGTTGCAAAACAATGTTTTGTTGCACAAAGGCTGATTCACACATGACAGAAAAGCAGAAAGACACAAGCTAATCAGAACTCGCGCTGGTAGAAACGTAGAAACCGACTTGAGACTAGATCATTGCGAGTCTACAGTGAGTCTGCAGTGAACCTATGCCTAACACACACACGTGTGCGATACGAACGGTAGCGAACACGTTAAGCAACCTCTTCGATCTTTCGGTTCAAGGGTTGAACAACACCCCCTTTCTGGTTCGATCTCGCTGGCGGCAGAGGAGAGTGAGTGTGTGACATCGTCGTCGTCGTCGTCGTCGTCGTCGTCGTCGTGATCGCGCTTTGTAAACTGAAATTCTCGTTGCTCGTGGCGAAGACATGTCGACGGAGAACCAACAGAACGGGACCGCGGGAGGCGCGCAGAGCAACGGCATCAAGTCGTCGTCGTCATCGTCGTCGGCGTCCTCAGTGGCGTCGTCGGGCGTTTCACCGTCCGGTCGCACCGCCGGTCTACAGAATAACTCGTCCTTCCTGTACAGCAGCAGCACGATGCTGAACCGCGAGAAGGCGCGTCAGGTGCCGCCGCCGACCCTGCCCAAGTACACGTCGAGCTTTAACGCCGGCTCGAACGGCGGTGCCGGCACCGGAGGCGGTGGTGGTGGCGGCGGCGGCGGCGGCGGCGGCGGCACCGCTGAACGACTCAGCAGGGACCGCGAAGCTGGCGGCAGCTATAGGCTCGCCAGCCTGGACAGGCTTGCTCTGAGACAGAGGATACTGGACGGGGAGAAGGCGAATGGCGAGTCCATCTCGGTAAGCTTAAACGCGACTTAGGGTTCCGCACATGTAATCATCCATCCTCTAATTTGCGCGTCGTGTATTCAACTCAGCCGCCGCCTGTCTTGACTCATACTTGGGCTGACTTTCCCCAAATTCCGGTCGAGCTAATGGACGATCATTAGCCGATTAGTTTAATCGGAATTTTAGTAAGTCATGTGTAATCTAAGAATAATGGGGCACAACTGTTGTATAACTATTGATATTCTCTATATATTTAGTTTTATGATATACATTCGGCCGTACAAAAACTCAGGGAAACTCGACCACGTACTCATACGAGGGGTACACGTGTGCTGTGAATCGGGGTTATCTTGCGATATTGCGGCTTGGCGACTAGGGATATCACATGATATGTCTTTTATTTGCAGTTCGTCCAGACGAACGTCCTGTCCACCTTACCTCCAATAGTAAACACGCTATTAAAAACTGAGCGTAGGCTAAAGTGAATATGTACGAGCGGAATAGAATGTACTGAGAGAATTTTACAGTAAAAATTACTATAGAATTTTGTAACTGAGGGATAGATCGATATTTTGCAATAATTAACTGTTTCATTTCATTATATGCTACTTATATTCCCAAAATTTAAATGTGCTATTTAAAAATTTGCTATGCTTGTGGCGAAATTTACTATGTTCCTTGGCAAAACAGTCATTACTGATAATCCGTGTGCGCAAAAAGTTTCGAAGGTATCTCGTGTCTGGCGGAATTTTTTGTCGATTTGATATTAGACTACGGTTATCATTGGAACCATTTGATTGAATCATCAGAATATAAGTTAACGTTATCTCTGCTGAAAAAAAGAAGATACCGGAATCTTATGTATGAATAATATTTTTTTTTTTTAATGACCGAGTTTAATATTCAGGCTGTCAAATGTAGAATAGAATAATTCGACGAAATTAGTTTCGAGATCGCGAAAATCGCAAAATAATTTCGACTTGAGAACCGCTGTCGAGCAGAAAAGCGCATGGTAAAGAAAAGATGGTAGGGCCCACCCTCGCAATTGCTTTTTGGACGAAAGGGCGACTCGGCCCCCAGTCCAAGACTGGGGGATGCTAAGTCGGGGGTTTAACCCTCGGTGCGTCAGCGTACGATCGAAAAATACAACGTAATTTGTGAGTCATGCGAAGGAGAGAGAAATGGAGAGAGAGAGAAGAAAGATACACTGTCGGCGTAGCGAAAAGCGGCTTACAGCTGCACCGCTGACTCACCGCGTGTGTGTACGTTCCATATTTGTATCGTGAGAAAGGGCTACTGGAAACTGGAACAATCGCACTCTCTGTCCATCTCGGGAATCTCGAAGATTAACGAGTGAATCGAATGTACGGCATTTAGAAGATACCGAGTGCGTTTCTTACTTATTGAGCAGTAGGAAAGAAATTGTAAAATATTTCGTTTGGAAAACAAGTAATTTTCTCTGTCGCTTTTGTAAACTGTAGCGTCAGTTTTTGTTTTGGGGATATCCCAAGGTTATCAGGTGAAAGTTTATTGCATAATTACTTAAGGGTCTCATTCCTGATACACAATTAAGTAGATAAGTCTATGCACAATGCCAAGCAACAGGGAATAGAAATTCGGATTGGTCAATTATTCCCTGTTCCTATTGGCTAATGCCTATTCCTATTACCTGGTATTGTGCATAGGGCTAAGAACTACAAAGCGTATACGATTGTAAAAGAATTAGTGTTTGTTTTCTTGAGTATGGAAAATTATCAGTCACATATAAGGACTGCGAGGGAAAGTAGAGAAAAGAAAAGTAGAAATTACCGGGACAAGAATAAACGAGACAAGAAACAATTTTAACGATGTGCGAGGGCACGCACGATAATAAAAGCTTCGTCCAAGCGTTTCTCGCTTGTCCCCTTGTCGAGGAAAAGAGAGGGTGTCGACGAGCTCTCGCGACCGTGAGTGTTAATCGCTCTGACACATTTTTGCGAAACAGCGATATCCCGACGTGATTACTTGCATGAGAGAGAAAAAAAGAAATATATTTAACCGCAGTCCGAACAATCACGCCATTCAAACCTGCCGATATCCGGACAAGTTATAAATCTCCGCTCCCCCTCTCTCTCTCTCTCTCTCTCTCTTTCTCGCTCTCGCTCTATCGCACACAATCCAACTTTGTTCTCCGCGGAACAAACACTACGTTTTCACGCTCGACACCGAGCACATTTTACGTTGACAAGTACTTTTTATGTTTGCTATACGCTGCTACGATCGCTCGCCTCACAAGCGCATCGGCACGTATGGAACTGTATGTAATTCGTGATGTTACGATTGAAAAGTACAATTTGATACTCGAAATAGAAGTAAAATGAGATATGTTCATATCGCGCAAGAATGCCTTCCATATTTCAGTTCACTCGCGAAACAGACTTTGTATCGAAACCAAATTTCGCTCTCCGCGTTAATTACCACGTTTTGTAACGATGAATATGAAACAGCGCGGGGGGTAGATTGAAATATCCTTGAAGTATATGACGTGCAAACGCTTTGCTCGCGAATATTTTTCCACCGTTTTCCACGGTGGTAATTTCTTTCCTCGAGGGTCGCAGCTAATTACCAGTGTGACAAAGAGTTAACTCGTCGCGATTAAAAGTCGATTTAGCCGCGTTTACCGGCGAGTGACCCGATGACCTGTTACTGCAAAGCGCACTGTGCTGTTTGTGAATCCGCCGATAGTCGAAACGACCCGATTGGGGACAATTGAACGGAATTGCATGCAATGACGACGTCACGTGGGGCAGCTTCACCGTGGAATTTCGCGTCGCCCTTTGCGAAAGGATATGCTAATTAACGAGGACCGTATTCGTTCAGGTCGAGGACACGCGAGTTGAGGATACGTGTGCGAATGGCATGCTAACGCGTGTCTTTAAGGCGAGCGAGCATGTTTGAACGCATTGCGCGATCGGCACATTGTGTTGATCGTCGAAGAAGTGGTATATTGTCAGCTCGACTAGCAAAATATTTTCCTTTCCGAATGCATTCTGCGCACTCTCTAGGGCTAACTCCAATTCCAACCACGTAAAAGTAGATTTGCTGCCGTCGGGCGCGCCACGTCGGAGCTGAATCGCGCGCGACTCTTGGGCAAATCACGAATTCGATCCTGCTTCCCCTAAGCCGCGATATCGCGTATGAAATCTTTCGTGCACGACTATCCGCTTTACTTCTTATTTCCTCGTTCTCTTTGTTTTCAGACAATATCGAAAAAAATATAATCTAATCCTTAACGGAATCCTCTTATGTATATGGCTTCAAGAAGATTCCTTTAAAACTAAAAGGAGAATATTCACAATATTCTTAAATTTCGTCTTTTATCTATTATATCTTTTTGTTTTGGGCTTGTCGCACGCATTCTGGTAAACATATTCCCCTTGATCCAAAAAGAAAAAAGTTTGAGTATCTAACAGATTTGTGATTAATAATATACTTTGGAATACTTTTTAAAAAAGTAAAGATAACGGTAAAAGTTTTCGCTTAAAATATGAGGTTACAAAAAATAGTAATTACAGTTCTTTTTTCGGAGCGATGGAATATTTTTCTGTTGGTTTTGGAAGAATCCTCTTGAGGCCATGTATAAGAAAATTCCGCTATGGACGAGACTTTTTATGTGAAATTTCTCCTGTCGTTTCCTTTTTTCTTGCGTTATATCTTAAAATTTTCATTCCCTGCTTTTACAGAGTAAAAGTCCTTGCTTACGCTCCTCCTGTCACTTTGTTTCCTCAACTCTCCTAAGATAACAAATTCCCTCCGTTCTCTCTCTGGTTTTTCGCGAGCCGATGCTCGCAGTATCTCTCGTCGGGAAAGCTTTCGAGGCGCTATTCGTCACTAAATTGATAAACCACATCCGTCATGTGGGATACGATGTCGTCACGCTGTAACAGGCATCGTCTCCTCTTCCGATCATTGAAGAAGCGCGTCATTTCGACGCGTTGAAGTGACTCTCGTAGATCTCACCCGGTACAGAGATTACTCGAATAAAGCGAATGTAGGTCCGCCGTCGCCTGCATAATAAGGGCACTCATAAAATTCCAGCGAATGACTTCCTCTCAAGTTTGCCGCTCGTTTTAATATTAATGAGGCCGCCGACGATTCGATCCGGAACGCGCGGACTGTATGCCCTCTTAAGTGCCTTTTATTAATCACAAAATTACCGCACCGACTCTCTCGTCGTATCGATCGTTCTGCTCGAGCACGTTGTTAAACGCCGCGAAATCTATTAGCTGTCCTTCATGAAAACTGATTTTTTAGAAAGTCTCTTATTAGAAAACTGATTTTTTTGGTGCGACGTGCAGTGAATCGAAACCATCAGTTTTGTAAACATTGACTGAAATTCTGCACTGAAAAAAACATGTTCAAATTAACAAATATTTATTAGGTGAGAGAATTGTAAAGTCTGGAATTTTAACAACGTTGTAATTTTGAGCAATAAAAATATATTTGCCTTTGTTAAATCATACGTAAAATGTATTAGTGCAAGTTATATATTTCCATTTACTATATAATTAGTGCTATATAATTTTATTTCGAGATTTACATATAAAAAATCAAGATATTTTTACAACAAGAATGTTCTTGTTTTTTGTATAGACATTGATTGCAGGCAATTTTATCTCACTAGGTGTGTTTGTTAAACCACATTAGACTTGACGATTTCAACAGAAGTGCTCAAGCGTTTCGGTCGGTTGTTCCAACGTTTATTTTCCGAAGGTTACCCACGAAAGAGAGGGAGAGAGAGAGAGAGAGAGAGAGCGAGCGAGCACGTCCGCGAGAGTTCGCGTTCTTCGCGAATTCCACGCATCACAAATTTGCACGACCTCGCTCGTAAAACTCACTTCGCACGGAACTTCCCGGCTGGACGTAGAGTACAAGAGAGCACGCGACGCGGAAGCGGAAGAAATGGATTTATTGTCTTATTCGCGGCAACTTAAGCTTCATTACGTGGACTCATCATTTGCGTCGATTACCGC